GTTACAGTCTATTGTAAAAGGATCAAATAACAGAGCATTTAGAAATACATAATATGAACAAGCAAAGTCAGCATGGCTTCATGAAGGGAAAATCATGACTGGCAAATATAGGGCAGTTCTTTGAAGACGTAGCAAGCAGGATAGATAAAGGAGAACCAGTAGATGTAATATATTTAGATTCCCTAAGGTGTTGAATAAAGGACCAGACATTAAGTTACTTAATAAGACAAGATCCCCCGTCATAGGTCAAAGAGTAATACAGCATGGAAACAGGCCCTTCGGCCCAAACTGGTCCATGCTGACCATAGTGCCCACTCAGCTAGTTCCAATTGCCTGCATTTGGTCCATATCCCTCTAAACCCTTCCCATTCATGTACCTATCCAAACGTTTTTTTAAATGTTGCTATTGTACGTGCCTCAACCACTTTCTCTGGCACCCCATTCTATATTAGCACCACTCTCTGCATGAAGAAGTTGCCTCGCATGTCCATCTTAAATCTCACCTTAAAACTATGCGCTCTAGTTTTCAATTCCACATCTCTGGGAAAAAGACTATATGCATTCATCCTATCCAGGATCTTATACATCTCAATAAGGTCACCCCTCATTCTACTACATTCCAAGGAATAAAGTCCTACCCTGACCAACCTCTCCCTATAACCCGGGCCTACTAGTCCTGGCAACATCCTTGTAAGTCTTCTTGCACACTTTCCAGTTTAACTATGTCTTTCCTACAACAGGGTGACCAAGTGCAGCCTCACCAACGACTTATACAACTGTAACGTAACGTCCCACCTCCGATACTCACTGCCTCAACCGATGAAGGCCAGCATGCTAAATGCCTTCTTCACCACCCTGTCCACCTGTAAAGCCACTTTCAACAAACTATGTACTTGGACTCCTAAGTCCCTCTGTTCTACAACACTCCTCAGGACCTTACCATTTACTATATAACTCCTCCTTTGGTTTGACTTTCCAAAGTGCAACACCTCACACTTATCTGTATTGAATCGCATTTGACAATCCTCAGCCCACTCCCCGCTTGATCAAGATCCCCCTGTAATTTTTGATAACCTTCTTCGCTATCAACAATACCTCCTAATTTTTTATCATTCGCAAACTTATTAATCATGCCTTGTACATACACATCCAGATCATTTATGTAAATAACAAATAACAAATGTCCCAGCACCGACCCCTGTGGCACACCACTAGTCACAGGCCTCCAGTCTGAGAAACACCCTTCAACCATCGCCCTCTGCTTCCTACCATTGAGCAATTTTGAATCCAATTAGCTAGCTCTCCCTGGATCCATGCTATATGACTAGCCTGCCATGCGGGACCTTGTCAAAGGCCTTACTAATGTCCATATATACAACATCCACTGCCCTACCCTTATCCATCCTCTTGGTTACCTCTTTGAAAAACTCTAAAAGATTTGTCAGACTTGACTTCCCGCGCACAAATCCATGCTGACTATCCAAATGTTGATTAATCCTGTCCCTCAACATCCTCTCCAATAACTCATCTACCACTGATGTCAGGCTCACTGGCCTGTAGTTCCCTGCCTTGTCTTTGCTACCTTTCTTAAACAATAGAACAACATTAGCCACCCTGCAGTCTTCTGGAACTTCACCAGTGGCGAAAGATGAAGCAAAAATCTCTGTAAGGGCCTCTGCAATTTCTTCCCTAGCCTCCCACAACACCCGAGGTTGGACTTGATCAGGCCCAGGGGATTTATCCACCTTAATGTGCTTTAAGGCTGCAAACACCTCCTCTCTTGTAATGTGTATGCAGTCCAAAACATCCCCACTTGTTTCCCTAATTTCCTTAGCGTCCATGATTCTCTCCTCAGTAAACACCGAGGAGAAATATTCATTAAAAATCTCCCCCATCTCCTGTGGCTCCACACAGACAGCCATGCTGATCTTGAAGGGGACCTAGTCTCTCCCTAGCCAGTCTTCTACTCTTAATATGGCTATAGAACCTCTTGGGCTTATCTTTAACCTTATCTGCCGGATAAATCTCTTACTCTCTTTTTGCTCTTCTGATTTCCCTCTTGAATGTGTTCCTACGCTTTTTAGCGTCATCTAGGGATTCACTTGAGCCCGATAGCTTAAACCCAATGAATGCCTCCTTCTTTTTCCTGACCAGAGCCTCAATATCCCTCGTCAGCCAGGGATCCCTAAATCTACCAGCTTTTCCCTTCACCCTAACAGAGTTGGACTCTTGATATCACACCTTTAAAAGCTGCCCATTTGCCAGTCGTTCCTTTTCCTTCAAACAGACTCACCCAATTGACCTGTGTTGGAGGTAGTATGGCAGATGCTGTATAATGAGAATTAATGGGAGATTATTCACTTTGGCAGTAAAAAAAGATCGTAATGAATGGCAAAGCAGGCTCAAGAGGCTGAATGGCTGACTCCTGTTCCTACTTTCCTATGTTTATTAGCGAGGATAAAGGATGGGCTAACTAACAGAAGACAATGAATTTGGATAAGGAGGACATTTTCAGGATAACAAGCTGGAACAAGCAGTGTGCAACAAGGATTAATTCTGGACCCACAATTATTTATGACAGACATTTATGACTTGCATTAGGAAAGTGAGTCTACTATGACCAAGTTTGCAGATGTTGCAAGAATAGGTGGGAAGGTGAGTGGTGAAGATGACACAAGACATCTATAAAGGGACATGGACAGGTTAAATGAGTACCAGGCTTCTAGGAATTCCCGAGACATGACCAATACTCACTCATCTCCATCCACATGGATAAGGAGAACCACCAATTCGATTGGGACAACACCAAGATCCTGGAACAAGCAAAGCAGAGACAAGCACAGGAGTTCCTAGAAGCCTGGTACTCCACGAAGAAAGCCATCAACAAACACATAGAACTAGACCCCATATACATTCCATTGGGAAGGAAAACCGGAAATGAGGTAATCTAGCTCAACGGACCCCAGAGTTTAAATACCAGGTGGGAAAACACAACAGCACTTCATCGGAGGCTGCACTGATGTTACCCAGCAAGGTAATGAAACATCTGCAGAACAACGAACCAGCTCGGCGAGCCAACCAACCACAACCTTACTGAACATTAACATTCGTAAGGGACTTCACGGGGGAGATGTGGAAAGGTTGTTTCCCTTTGTGGGACAGACTAGGACTGGAGGGCATCATCTCAGAATATGGGTTTGCACACTTAAGACAAAGCAGAGGAAGAATGTTCTCACTCGGAGGTGGTGAATCTGTGGAATAAGGTTTTGGAGTAGATTTGTAGCTCAGGTTGTGAGTGTCGAGGTTGGTTGGCTCGCCGAGCTGGTTCACTGTTCCGCAGACGTTTTGTTCCCCTGCTGGGTAACATCCTCAGAGCAGCCTCCGATGAAGTGTCGGTATGTTTTCCCGCCTGGTTTTTAAACTCTGGAGTCCGTTGAGCTGGATTACCTCACTTCCGGTTTTCCTTCCCAATGGAGCGTATATGGGGTCTAGTTCTATGTGTTTATTAATGGTTTTCTTCGTGGAGTGCCAGGCTTCTAGGAATTCCCGTGCCTGTCTCTGCTTTGCTTGTCCCAGGATTTTGGTGTTGTCCTAGTCGAATTGGTCGTTCTCCTTATCCATGTGGATGGAGATGAGTGAGTATTGGATGTGCCTTTTTGTAGCCATTTGGTGTTCGTGTACCCTTGTCGTTAGTAACACCTTTGTCATCATTAAACGGACCAAACTAGAGGAGACACACAAACTAATGAACAACACCCTCACAGGAATAAAATTCACCAGAGAGGAGGAGAAGAACAAACAGCTCCCATTCCTGGACACCATGGTGGACCGCAAGACAAATGGGGAACTGCAAACGAAAGTACACCGAAAAGCCACACACACAGACCAGCTATTGAACTTCAACAGTAACCATCCCAGCACACACAAACGAAGCTGCGTGTGAGCACTATTTAAAAGGGCAACAACACACTGCAGCAACACAGAACTATGCCAAGAGGAAGGAGAATACCTCTTTCAGGTTTTCAAGGATAATGGACATCCAAAAAACTGGGTCAGAAGATGCCTATACGAACAACATCAGGAAGATACTACATGCCCCGACACACTCATCACGCTACCGCACATCAGGAACACATCGGAACTAACCTCAAGACTCCTACAACCGCCGGGCATCAGAGTGGCACACAAGCCCACATCAACCCTATGACAACTGCTCACCTGAACTAAAGACCCACTCCCCACCATGGACAGGACCAATGTCATCTATAAGATCCCCTGCAGAGACTCTGAGAAACACTACATCGGACAAACAGGAAGGAAACTAACAACAAGAGTACACGAACACCAACTGGCTACAAAAAGACACGACCAATACTCACTCATCTCAATCCACATGGATAAGGAGAACCAACAATTCGATTGGGATAACACCAAGATCCTGGGACAAGCTAAGCAAAGACAGGCACGGGAATTCCTAGAAGCCTGGCACTCCATGAAGAAAGCCATCAATAAACACATAGAACGCGGCCCCATATATGCTGCACAATGAAGGAAAACCGGAAGTGAGGCAATCCAGCTCAACGGACTCCAGAGTTTAAAAACCAGGTAGGAAAACACACCGATGCTTCATCAGAGGCTGCACCGATGATGTTACCCAGCAGGGGAACGAAACGTCTGCGGAACAACGAACCAGCTCGGCGAGCCAACCAACCTCAATCTGTGGAATACTTTACTGCAGAAGGCTGTTAAAGCTGGGTTGTTAGTCAAGGCTGAGACAGATTTTTAATCAATAAGGGAATCAAGAGTTATAGGGAAAAGGCAAAAAAGTGGAGTTGAGGATTATCAGATTAGCCATGATCTCAATGAATGTTGGAGCAGAGCTGATGGGCTGAATGGCCTAATTTGCTCCTTTGTTTTACGGTGTACATCATTCCTTCACAGTGCTTCCTCTTCACTTGTTAAATATAGACAACTCAGTGAACTAGGGTTAATTTGATGGTGCTGGCAAAGTGGAGGATATGCTGGGCCACGAAGTTATAGAGTCTGCCCACAGTGCCTCATGAACACCCTGTATAGAGCTGCTAAATGTGTTCGGAGCCTGTCCATTTTCCACTGTGTTCATTACGTAACTGAAACTTGAGTCACCAATACCTCACGTCAAAGTCCGGGGTGTATGCAAACTCCTCTCCCGCCCACTGCTCAGTGCTACACGGAGGGTCACGGGGGTTGCTGCCATCCACATCCCATTCCATCTCCTCATCATCGTCATAGAATCTGTTTCTGGAGTTCAACTCTGAAGAGCAAGCCAGAGTAAGGATACAAGGGAAACATGTCATCATCATTTCAACCCCACTATCAACATCCTGGGGGTTACTATTGACCAGAAACTCAAATGGACTTGCCACATAAACACAGCGGCTACAAGAGCAGGCCAGAAGCTGGGAATACTGCAGCGAGTGACTCACCTCCTGACTCCCCAAAACCTGTCCCACCATCTACAAGGCTCAAGTCAGGAGTGTGATGGAATACTCCCCACTTGCCTGGATGGGTGTAGACCCAGCAACACTCAAGAAACTTGACGCCATCCAGGACAAAGCAGCCCACTTGATTGGCACCACATCCACAAACATCCACTCCCTCCACCACCGACGCTCAGTAGCAGCAGTGCGTACTATCTGAAAGGTGCACTGCAGTAACTCAATCGGACTTAGGCCTAGCCAGTGACAGCCACATGCCTGGCATAAATACATTCACTGACATTCGCGCGCACACACACACGCTCATGCACACAAGCACACACACGCACACAGTTAGAGGAATTTACAACTTGCCATTTGAAGGTGATGTCGCTCTCGGAGAGGGGCAGAAATATCTGGTGGGTTCTGTCTCTTGCCTCCTGTGATACATCCTCCTTTCAGCTCTATTCTGTGACCAGACGCGAGAGGGAATATTCAGCCACTTCAAGATGACCAACTCCTCCAGTGGGGCCTGCGAGAGATACACAACATTGAAGTTACAAAAACCTTGCATCATTTCCTATTAAAATGGAGATCTCCCTTTCCCATATCCCCAGGTACGACTCCTCCATCACTAATCCCAGAAACCCTACCACCTTGCTGTAATCTCTAATACCCTCCTCCATCACTGTCATCTCAGATATCCACTTCATTAACACCAGGTATTTCCCCTCCCCTCACTGATTTTTCCAGACACCCCTTTACCCTCCAGATACCCTCCTCACCAATATTGTATAACCCCTAACCTCACTGTAACCCACAGATGCCCTCTTCTCCAATAATCCCCAGATACCCCCAACTGTTCCCAGGATGTCCCCTCTCTTCACTGAAACCCCTTCAGGAATATTGTAATATACCCCACACCCACCTCTCTCTGCCCCCAGCTCAATGATTGCCTCTAACCAATGACCTGCTAACCACCGAGTGAGGTACAATTACCAATGTCAATCCAACTTCTTCCAGGTCTTTCCTTATTTCTGGTTCCAGCTCCTTCTCGTGCAGGATTCCCACTGGCAGCAATTCCAGAATCTTGGAGTAGTGGAAGATATCTTCCTTGATGGATTCAATTTTCTCTTTAAGCTGAACCGATCACAGCAGGAAAATTCAGTGTCACATGATACTGATTGCTCTGGGTCACTAGCACGCTGCCCTCCCGCCCTCCACCCACTCGCACAGAAAGACTGCTGTAAGATTTACAGCAAGGAAATAGTTCACGCTGATCATATGGCAGCACTTACATCCAATTTAGAAAGGAGAGGGGCCTCAGATTAATATCTCATTCAAACGGCGCTCCCTCAGCACTGCACAGATGGGTCAGCCCTAGATTATGTCCCAAGGCTTCTGAAGTGGAGTTTGAACTCACAATATCCTTACTGTGAAGTATAAGTGTCATCACTAACACCATAATAAACATTTAAAATCCTCACCAGATGCTTTGCTCTCCAATCTATGCCCCAACCCCAAACCTGGGACCATTTCTCCTGACCCTACCAAATTGTGATATCCTTCCGTTGCCCACATCTTGCCTCATCTAGGAGGCATTGACAATATTGTGGATGCTACCTGGACTGGAAGGTTTGACCTACAAGGAGAGTTTGGGACTTTTTTACCTAGGAGTATAGGAGACTGAGGGGTGACCCTAAAGAGGTATATAAAATCATGACAGGCATAGATAAGATAGATTGCCAACAGATTTTCCCCGTGGTAGGGGAGTCTAAAACTAGAAGGCATAAATATAAGGTGAGAGGGGAGAGGTACAAAACAGTCCAGAGGGGCAATTTTTTTTTTTTTTTTTTACACGGAGGCTGGTGTGTGTCTGGAACAGGCTGCCAGAAGTGATGGTGGAAGTGAGTACAATTTCGTCATTTAAGAAATATTTAGACAGGTACATGGAGGGATAGGTATGAAGAGATATGGACTAAACACAGGCAAACGGGATTAGTTTAATTGTGAAAACTGGGTGGCATGGGCAGATTGGGCTGAAGGGCTTGTTTCTATGCTGTAGACCTCTATGACTCTAATTGGAGCCAAATTAGGGTTGGTTTGCTGGGATTGGACGGCACTCTCTTTGAAAAGATGCACAAGACACTGTGACTCACTAGATGGCTTCTGCCTTCAATACCCACTCCAGGGCTTGTTACTTACAGAAAGCATATTTGTAACACGGTCAAGAGAGGCCAACAATTATAAGAACATAAGAACATAAGAACATAAGAACTAGGAGCAGGAGTAGGCCATCTGGCCCCTCGAGCCTGCCCCGCCATTTCATGGCTGATCTTTGACACTCAGCTCCACTTACCCACCCACTCACCATAACCCTTAATTCCTTTACTGTTCAAAAATTTATCTAGTCTTGCCTTAAAAACATTCAGCGAGGTAGCTTCAACCACTTCACTGGGCAGGGCATTCCATAGATTCACAGCCCTTTGGGTGAAGAAGTTCCTCCTGACCTCAGTCCTACATCTGCTTCCCTTTATTTTGAGGCGATGCCCTCTAGTCCTAGTTTCACCTGCTAGCGGAACAACCTCCCTGCCTCCACTTTATCTATTCCCTTCATAATCTTATATGTTTCTATAAGATCTCCCCTCATTCTTCTGAATTCCAATGAGTATAATCCCAGTCTACTCAGTCTCTCCTCATAATCCAACCCTCTCAACTCTGGAATCAACCGAGTGAATCTCCTCTGCACCCCCTCCAGTGCTAGTATATCTCTTCTCAAGTAAGGAGACCAAAACTGCACACAGTACTCCAGGTGTGGCCTCACCAGGACCCTATACAGCTGCAGCATAGCCTCCCTCTTTTAAACTCCATCCCTCGAGCAATGGCAGACAAAATTCCATTTGTCTTTTTAATCACCTGCTGCACCTGCAATCCCACTTTCAGCCATTCATGCACAAGGACACCCAAGTCCCTTTGCACAGCAGCGTGCTGCAATTTTTTACCGTTTAAAACATAGTCCATTTTGCTGTTATCCCTACCAAAATAGATGACCTAAAACTTATCAACATTGTACTCCATCTGCCAGACCTTTGCCCACTCACTTAGACTATCTATATCCCTCTGCAGACTTTCAGTGTCTTCTGCACACTTTGCTCTACCACTCCACCTTAGTGTCATCTGCAAATTTTGACATACCACACTTAGTCCCCAACTCCAAATCATCTATGTAAATTGTAAACAATTGAGGTCCCAACACTGATCCCTGAGGCACACCACTAGCTACTGACTGCCAACCAGAAAGACACCCATTTACCCCTACTCTTTGCTTTCTACTGGTCAACCAATCCTCTATCCATGCCAATACATTACCTGTAATACCGTGCAACTTGATCTTGTGTAGCAGCCTTTGGTGTGGCACCTTGTCAAATGCCTTCTGGAAATCCAGATACACTACATCCACAGGTTCCCCATTGTCCACCATGCAAGTAATGTCCTCAAAGAATTCCACCAAATTAGTTAAACATGACCTACCCTTCATGAACCCATGCTGGGTGTTCCCAATGGGACAATTTATATCCAGATGTCTTGCTATTTCTTCCTTAATGCATTTTCCCCACTACCGAAGTTAAGCTAACTGGCCTATAGTTACCTGTTTTTTGTCTACTTCCTTTTTTAAACAGTGGCATCACATTGGCTGTTTTCTAATCTGCGGGAACCACCCCAGAGTCCAGTGAATTTTGGTAAATAATTACTAGTGCATTTGCTATTTCCCCTATCACCTCTTTTAGTACCCTGGGATGCATTTCATCAGGGCCAGGAGACTTGTCTACCTTTAGCCCCATTAGCTTGCCCAGCACTGCCTCCTTAATGATAATGATAGTTTCTAGGTCCTCACCTGCTATAACCTTCTTGCCATTAGTTTTCGGCATGTTATTTGTGTCTTCCACTGTGAAGACCGACACGAAGTAACTGTTTAATGTCTCGGCTATTTCCTCATTCCCAGTTATTAAATTGGCCTTCTCATCCTCTGGAGGACCAATGTTTACCTTCGCCACTCTTTTACGATTTACAAATTTATAGAAACTTTTGCTGCCTGTTTTTATATTCTGAGCTAGTTTACTCTCATAATCTATCTTATTTTTCTTTATAACTTTTTTTGTGGCTTTCTGTTGGCCTTTAAAGATTTCCCAGTCTACTAGTTTCCCACTACTCTTTACTTTTTTGTACGTGTTTTTTTTCAATCTGATACTTTCCTTTATTTCCTTAGACATCCATGGCTGTCTCTCTCTTTTCCTACAGTTCTTCCTTATCACTGGAATATACTTCTGCTGAGCACTGTGAAAAATTGTTTTGAAAGTCCTCCACTGTTCCTCAATTGACCCACCATAAAGTTTTTGCTCCCATTCTACCTTACCTAACTCCTCCCTCATTCCTTCATAGTCTCCTTTGTTTAAGCACAGGACATAGGTACTGGATTTAACCTTCTCACGCTCCATCTGTATTTTAAATTCAACCATACTGTGAGCGCTCCTTCCTAGAGGATCCCTAACTGTGAGATCATTAATTATTCCTGTCTCATTACACAGGACTAGATCTAGGATAGCTTGCTCCCTCGTAGGTTCCAATTATCCGGAAAATTCGCCCATAACTTTCTAATTCCCCCACAGAGAGAAAACAACATGTATAGGTGTGAAGACACAAATTAAACTAATAGAGTATTTTTAAAATTTAAGCTTTTTTTTTCATCTACTAGGTTTGAGTGAGAAGCAGACTTGCCTGGGAGTTGGAAAGTTCTGGGTTCTGCTTTCCCAGTGCTAGCATTTCATTCAGCTAGGACCAGGGTTCAGCCCTAAGCTTCCAGTTGCCAACTTTTCTTAGAATTGTGCCTGGAAGGGTCAACATACTGTGCCCACAGGACCCCTTATCCAATAGCTGTTGGAAATCCAAGTACTCCATATCTACAGGGTCAACTTCATCCAGCTTTGGACATTACATCCTCATAATAAATTACTTAAACACAATTTCCCTTTCACAAAACCATGTTGACTCTGCCTGACACTTTATGATTTTCGAAGTTTCCTGCTATAGCTTCCTTAATCATGGATTCTAATAATTTCCCCATGACAGACGTTAGGCTAACTGGCCTCTTGTTTCCTGCTTTCTGTCTCTTTCATTTCTTGGATAAAAATGTTACATTTGTAATTGTTCAATCCGCTCGAAACCTTCAGAAACTAGGGATTGTTGGAAGATTACAACCATTGCATTTCCTCTCTGTGTCACCGACTCTTTTAGTGCCCAGGACATTAATGGCAGCAGTAATGCAATTACAATTTGGTATGCTCAAGAAGTCGGAATTAGAAGGGACACAGAGGTCTTGCAGAATTGTGGGCTGGCGGAGATTACAGAGATAGGAAAGGGAGAAAGCCACAGATGGAGTCAAAATCAAAACATGATAATTTTAAAATCAAGAACTTGTCAGTCCAGAGATAGAGGGGAGATGGATGAACAGGGCTTGGTGTCATTTTAAAACATGGATAGTAGCGTTTGGATGAAAAGTCGTCAAGTTAACGATCACAGAGCTGTTATATCAATGAGTCTTTCTGCTCTGTTTGCTTCAGGAACATTATTATTCAGGTTATTATATGGTGAATGTGGAACCTGGCAAACACACCTCTTTGAACCTGCGCCTTTGTGTTGGAGTCAGGACCTTCTGTAATGTGGTCTTGCGAATGGCCTCCAGGGAGAACATTTGAAGCTTCTTGTTTTTGCAAAGTCCTCCGATGCGCACAATCCCTGTGGATTTAAACTCCAGTATCCCTGCAAAAATGAGTGTCTTTCAGTAACCAACAAGTGATTTGATTTGATTTATTGTGACATGTACCAAGATACAGTGAAAAGTATTGTTTTGCATGCTATGCAGGCAAACATAAGTACATCAGGATAATCGAACAGAATGTCGAATATAGTGTTACAGCTATATAGCAGGTGCAGAAAAAGATTAACTCTAATATATGAGCAGTCTGGTCAAAAGTCTGTTAACAGCAGGGAAGCAGCTGTTCTTAAATCTGTTGGTATGTGCTTTCAAACTCTTGTATCTTCCGCCTAATGGAAGAGGGTGGAAGAGAGTGCTACCTGTAAACATAAAGCTAGGAGCAAGACAGGCCATTCAGCCCCTCGAGCCTGCTCCGGCATTCAATATGATCTTGGGTGATCATCCAACTCAGTGTCTTGTCCCCACTTTCTCCCCATACCCTTTGATCCCTTTAATCCTAAAAACTATATCTACCTCCTTGAAAATATTCAATGTTTTGGCCTCAACCACTTTCTGTGGCAGAGAAGTCCACAGGCTCCCCACTCTCTGGGTGAAGAAAATTTTCCACATGAGTCCTAAAAGGCCTACCCCATATCCCTAGACTGCGATCCGTGGTTCTGGACTTCCTGTTCATCACGGATATCCTTTTTGAGTTTATCCTGTCCAGTCCTATTAGACCTTCATAGGTTTTTATGGGATCCCCCTCAATATTCTTCTAAATTAGTGATTTTTTAAAAATTCATTCATGGGTCAATATTTATTACCCACCCCTAATTGCCTTTGTCCAATCAGTCTATCATACAGGAGTTACACAGATACAGATTGAGACTGGAGCATTAGGGAGTATGCAACAGCTAAACAATGATCACATTGATGTTCCTGCCAGTCATGGAGATGAATGAGACAATGCTTAGGGCATCCTGTTGAGCCCCTTCCTCAGATGGGCAGGGTTTGGTCTATGGCCAGGGGCCTCACGACCATTAAAAAGGTAAAGTCACCATAGTCTTACCAGACCGGAGAGACGACTGGTGCTGGTTTAACCTGAGGGTGACCATGCATCAGGCGAGGGGAGAGGTTGAGAAGGACCCTCCTTCATGGTAACCTCAGCTGGTGCGGGAATTGAACCCATGCTGTTAGCATCAATCTGCATCGCCAACCAGCTGTCCAGCCAACCGAGCCAGCACAGTGAAGATGGATTGAATGGCCTCATTCTGTGGTGGAAGGTCCTTGGATTCTAGCTACACTCAAGATGGTAATGGTGAATGCTTCTCGCATTGACTTGTGGCTTGCAGTTTGATTGAACAATGTAGCTCATGGAGCTAATACAGAACACAGTTAGGAGTCAACTGTGATGGAGTGGGATTGGAGCCAAACATACTGGATAAAAACAACACATTTCTTCCCGAAAACACCACCGTCACTTTTACCTTGCCCAACGTTACTTTCATTTTAAAAATGTTTTTAAACACGGTTGCTGTGATATTGTTGCCTTGTAAAGAACCACCTCACCTTCCAAGAACTGCTCCAGGATGTGCTTGGTGTTGCAGACGATCAGAATGGGGCTTGGGCTCCCCAAGGTCGTCTGCCAGAGCTTCTGGTTATGCAGCAGCAACTCCACCAACTTTAACCCGAGGAAGGTCTTTCCTGCGTTAGCAACAGCAACAGAAGCACAGGTTACAAATATATACACACCAAACACACTCACACAAATCACAGACAGACACTGTCTCTCACACCCAAGTCACAGACAAACAGTCACACAGTCTCTCCCTCTCTCGCACACACACACACACACACAGTCTCAAACATACACGCAAGTTACAGACAGACTGTCACGGTCTCAAACACACAAGCGCAAGTTATAGACAGTCACACGGTCTCAAACACACAAGCGAGTTACAGACAGACAGTTACATGGTCTCAAACACACAAACGCGAGTTACAGACAGACAATCACATGATCTCATACGCACAAGTGAATTACAGACAAATAGTCACACGGTCTCTCTCTCACACACATACACACACACACACACAAACGAGTTACAGACAGACAGTCACATGGTCTCTCACACACACACTTACACACAAAACTCAGGAACAGATTCAAAGACACAGAGTCACAGACACACACACAAGATAGAGTCACAGACAGTCACACACATACACACATACAAATAGAGAGACAGAAGACTCACAGACACAGAGTCACAGACACAAACAGAGACACACAGACAAACGCACCATTTCAATGAGTTACTCGATAGCCTCTCATTCCAAGATACGTTTCAGTTTGTGTCTAGACTGATCAATAGCTATCCAGATGTCAGGTATTATCCATCAGCTAGCAGTCTGTCCTCACGGTGAGTTCCCAGACCAACCTTAGAGCCCATATGAGCTGCACGGAGGAGGTGGTAACATAGCATCATCACCGGGCTAATAATTTAGAACCCCGGGCTAATTTTTTGGGGACACAGATCCCACCGTGGCAGATGGTGAAACTTAAATTCAATAAGACAAATTCAGGAATTAAAAGCTGACCAAATTGCAACCACTATCAATTGTTAGTAAGTCCTTCCTAGTTTCCCTCATTAACTAGCTTGATCAGCCTACTCAGAGGACAGTTAATTACTGTGGGTCTGGAATCACATACAGACCAGACAAGGTAGCAACGGCAGATTCCTTCTTTGGATGGATTTCTGGGAAAATCCAGAAGTTTCATGCTCATTGTTCCAAGTTTATTTGATTTACTGAATTTAAATTCACAGGCTGTTATGGTGGAATTTGAATTTATTAATCCAAGCCGCTGGATTATCAATTGACAAGCATAATCTAAGCTACTGTTCCCATGTATCCTTTAGGCAACATCAGAAACAAGTCATCTAGTTATGCATTGATTCTGGGAGCTTTCTGTGTACAAATTGGCTGCAATATTTCAACATACATCTGTGGGATGATGGGATACCATGACAGACCAAACCTGCTAACTTCATCCTATTCCGCTTGTAAACTGTCATAACATTCACTTCTTTGGAAAACCAAAACCCAATGCTACCCAATCAACGCACCATGGCCAATTGATACTTCGAGGCCAATGGATCCTCCGTGATCCTCCTCAGCTAATCAATCCTCCCCAATTTTTCCTGGTTTATTGATTCTTTGATATGATGTGATCTCTGTCTCCAATCATGGAGACTGTTCCATCATCCTGGGCCATCATTATAAAATTACAAGCCCCAGCCCAAGCTTGCTCTGGGTCCTGTGGATCATTGGCAATGTCTAGCTCCCTCATGCCACTCTCTCAGCACAGAAAGAAAGTCCTGGCCACGTACCTGTCCCAGGAGGACCCTGGATCAGTGCAAATTCCCGTTTCAGGGCCTTTTGAAGAGCCTTCAGCTGAGATCTGTCAAAATGCTTCAGCCATCGCAAAGACTGGAAATCTTGTTGAAATGGATTGACTTCATAGATGTTGTTCTTTGCGAAGTTGTCTCCTTGCCCCATTGGGGTATTGCCATGCCCAGTCAGGGTATTGCCATACTCAGTTGGGCTTCCACCTTGCCCCGTTGAGGTGCCCCTGTGCTGCACCACATCCATGCTCTCCACAGCTGAGCTGCCCCTCTCTGTGAAGGTAACATTCCCAGGTGTTGGGCCAGGTCTCTCCTCTGCTGTCTGGAGCTCTCGGTACTTAACGCTGATAAACTGTTCAGCAGGACCAGAATTTCTCTCTGCCGCTGGATGATGCTCCTCCTCCATCTTCTTGTCACCCTTGACTACAAGATGAGTGCTCTCCTCCAGTGGGCTCACCTCCTGTGCTGCTTCCTCCATGGTGGTATTGGCTGGGCTACTGCTCTCCTCGGACAGATCAAAGGAATCCTCAGTCTCCTGCTCCTGTTCCACTCTCAGACTGGGACATTCCTCTGTGGTAAGACCCAGTTCCAATCCTGGCGCCATCAATGGAGAGGGCTGCAATAAATAAGTCACAATGGGAACACACACACACAGGACTATTGGACGTAAGGGCTAGATTAGGTGGCTCAAGACAGTTTTGTCATTAATAAAATTATGGTTCATCTGTCTGTGGCCACAACTCCCCTTTCCCGTCTGCACCCATAAGCTGTCTGTCAAAAACCTATCTAACTTAGCCTTGAATAAATTCAAACGCGCAGCTGCCACCACCTTCTGGCAAGGAGAATCTCAAAGACCTATCAACCCCGAGAAAGATTTCTCATCATCTTTGCATTCAAATGGGGATTTCTGATTCCAAACTATGAGCCCCTAACTCTAGTTTCCCCCAGAGGGGGAAATATCCTCCCAGCATCCACCCTGTAAGGTCCTCTCAAGATCTTATCTTTAAGACAGAGACAGATAGGCTGTTCATTAGTATAAGGACCAAAGGTGATGGGGAGAAGGCAGGAGAATGAGGTTGAGAAACATATCAGCCATGATTGAATGGCGCAGCAGGCTTGATGGGCCAAATGGCCTAATTCTGCTTCTATATTGTATGCTCTTACACACGTTTCAATGAGATTACCTCTCCTTCTTCCAAACCCCTATGGATACAGGTTCAGCCTGTCCAATGTTTCCCTCATAACCTCCCCAGCCCAAGAATGAACGTAATGAACCTTCTCGAAAAACAGACAGAGACTACCTCAAATACCAAACACAGAGAAATGGAGGCAATGCTCCACCAAGTAAACACCGAAGGATTGTAATGAAAAGTTACGAGTAGTTCACGGATTTCCAAAGGCACATCACTTAGGTTTTTGGAAAACACAGGATAAAATACTAAAATATTTTTATGGTCAGGTTTATATAAAGATGTGGCTACATTCTGGCAGAGAAGCCATACATATCAGGTAGTGGGTAAACCCAAATTGTCAGTTAATACTGTGCCTTTAATTCCAATGCTGGCTTACAAAGAAGCCTCTATTAGTATGGTCTTAACAGATTGCATTGGACCCGCATCTACAACCAGGAATGGAATCAGGATCTTTCAACAATTGTGGATGTTTCAGTAAGTTTTCCTGAGGCATTGCCTTTGGGGTAAATTATGGCAAAAACTGGTAATAGAAAAGTTAATTGAATTTTTGCAAGATATGGATTACCCAAAGAAATCAAATTTCAACCTTGATTTGATTGTATGTCAGAAATATTTTTTTAAAAATAGATAATTTAGGAATGAAACAATTTATGCTTTCGCTTTTTATCCAGACCTAAAGGAGCATTTGAAAGTATAAAATTTTAATGACCATGATTAACTCATTGTCAGGAATGTCCAAATGATTGGGTAAAAGAATTTCCAGAGTGAAACTTGGCTTAATTTGTTAGTTTTAGTTGTGCAGTTTGTTTACTCTGGTGGTCAGTTACTGAATTTTTTTTTCTTTATTCATTCACAGGCTGAGGGCATCGCTGACCAGGCAGCATTTATTGTCCATCCCTAATTGCCCAGTGGGCAGGTCAGAGTCAACCACGTTGCTGTGGGTGTGGAGTCACATGTAGGCCAGACCAGGTAAGGATGGCAGTTTCCCTCCCTAAAGGACATTAGTGAACCAAGACAACCAGGTGTAGAGCTGGATGAACACAGCAGGCCAAGCAGCATCATAGGAGCAGAAGGGCTGACATTTCGGGCCTAGACCCTTCATCAGAAATGGGGAGGGGAAGGAGGTTCTGAAATAAATAGGGAGAGAGGGGGAGGCGGATAGAAGATGGATAGAGGAGAAGATAGGTGGAGAGGAAACAGACAGGTCAAAGAGGCGGGGATGGAGCCAGTAAAGGTGAGTGTAGGTGGGGAGTTAGGGAGGGGATAGGTCAGTCCAGGGAGGACGGACAGTCAAGGGGGCGGGATGAGGTTAGTAGGTAGGAGATGGGGGTGCAGCTTGAGGTGGGAGGAGGGGATAGGTGGGAGGAAGAACAGGTTAGGGAGGCAGGGACGAGCTGGACTGGTTTTGGGATGCGGTCGGGGGAGGGGAGATTTTGAAGCTTGTGAAATCCACATTGATACCATTGGGCTGCAGGGTTCCCAAGCGGAATATGAGTTGCTGTTCCTGCAACCTTCGGGTGGCATCGTTGTGGCACTGCAGGAGGACCAGGATGGACATGTCGTTTGAGGAATGGGAGGGGGAGTTGAAATTGTTCGCGACTGGGAGGTGCAGTTGTTTATTGTGAACCGAGCGTAGGTGTTCTGCGAAGCCGTCCCCGAGTCTCCGCTTGGTTTCCCCGATGTAGAGGAGGTCACAATGGGTACAGCGGATGTAGTATACCACATCTGCACATCTGCCAGTGAACATCTGCTTGATGTGGAAAGTCTTCTTGGGGCCTAGGATGGGGGTGAGGGAGGAGGTATGGGGGCAGGTGTAGCACTTCCTGCGGTTGCAGGGAAAAGTGTTGGGTGTGATGGGGCTGGAGGGGAGTGTGGAGTGGACAAGGGAGTCACGGAGAGAGTGGTCCCTCCGGAAAGCAGATAAAGGTGGGGAGGGAAAGATGTCTTTGGTGGTAGGGTCGGATGGCAGATGGCAGAAGTGTCGGAGGATGATGCGTTGGATCCGGAGGTTGGTGGGGTGGTATGTGAGGACGAGGGGGATTCTTTTTTGGTTGTTATTGCAGGGACGGGGTGTGAGGGATGAGTTGCGGGAAATGTGGGAGACACGGTTGAGGGCGTTCTCGACCACTGAGGGGGGGAAGTTACGGTCCTTGAAAAACGAGGACAACTGAGATGTACGGGAGTGGAATGCCTCATCCTGGGAGCAGATGCGGCGGAGGCGAAGGAATTGGGAATAGGGGATGGCATTTTTGCAGGAAGGTGGGTGGGAGGAGGTGTATTCTAGGTAGCTGTGGGAGTCAGTGGGCTTGAAATGGATATCGGTTTCTAGGTGGTTGCCCGATATGGAGACAGAGAGGTCCAGGAAGGAGAGAGAGGTATTAGAGATGGTCCAGGTAAACTTAAGGTTGGGGTGGAAGGTGTTGGTGAAGTGGATGAACTGTTCGAGCTCCTCGTGGGAGCATGAGGCGGCGCCGATAGTAAACCAGATGGGTTTTTACAACAATTGACAATGGATTCACTGTCATCATTAGATTCTCAATTCCAGATATTTATGGAGTTCAAATTCCACCATCTGCCATGGCGGGATTTGAACCCGGGTCCCTGGAATGTTATCTGGGTCTCTGGATTAACAGTCCAGTGATAATACCACTAGGCTATCGCCTCCCCTCGTTTATATTCACAAGAGGCTGCCAATATACTTTTAACAAAAGAACAGAGAAAAAGTTTATTGCACATAAAAAGGGGTTTAAAAAAAAACTAACATACAAGAGCTATCTGAAACAGTTTTATCACAAATATCAGAAAATAAGGATTCAACCTGCAAACAACATCATTACAGATAACTGACACCTCAATGAACGGTCACCCTGTCTCCGCTTTAATGTTTCTTGTTCAGTTGAAATGAACATAGAACTGTACAGGCCCTTCAGCCCACGATGTTGTGCCGAACTTTTACCCTAAACCTAAGGTTTATCTAACCTCCAACCCTACCTTATACTATCAGCCATATGCCTGTCTAATAGCCGCTTAAATGCCCCTAACGAGGCCAACTCCACTACCCTCTCCGGCAATGCATTCCACGCCCCGACCACACTCTGAGTAAAGAACCTACCTCTGATGTCTCCCCTATGTCTACCTCCGCTCACTTTAAAACTATGTCCCCTCGTAATAGCGACCTCCACCCTAGGAAAAGAAATGGCTGCAATTGGTTTCATAAGCTTTCTTCTTATTGACCTCAAAACACAGTCTCAGAGCAAACACATTTCCTTTCCAAAGCCTCAGCTTCCAGCCATTCTCTGCTTCTTGAGTTTTCGTTGCTAAGCCACTCAGGCCATTTTCCCTAACTGGAAACAGTCCTGACTATTTTGGAGGCCACCACACAAAATACACCTTTTTGCTCTTGCTGAACCTTCACACATTGCCTGACTTTTTTAATTGTTCTATTCTCTGAGACATTTGATTCTCGTTGCTGGCAACAGCAAGGTTTTTTCTACCCATGTGTTTAATGCACTGGATTGTTCACCTCAAGTTCCACTCTAAGGTTGTAAACCCACTTTAAAAATGCATGCATCAACAAACCTCTAGACAACCCTACACAACTCACAGAATCCAAAAATAAAATTAAAACCTGTTCTTCTCTTCACAATACACACAACATAGAAATACCAACAGATTTAAGAACAGCTTCTTCCCCGCTGTTATCAGACTTATGAACAGGCCTCTCATGTATTACAGTTGATCTTTCTCTCCACCTTCTCTGTAGCCATAACACTATATTCTGCGATAACAAGGTGTAGAGCTGGATGAACAAAGCAGGCCAAGCAGCATCAGAGGAGCAGGAAGGCTGACGTTTCGGGCCTAGACCCTTCTTCAGAAAATAAGGATTCAACCTGCAAACAACATCATTACAGATAACTGACACCGCAGTCAACGGTCACCCGGTCTCCGAGTTTCTGAAGAAGGGTCTAGGCCCAAAGTGTCAGCCTTCCTGCTCCTCTGATGCTGCTTGACCTGCTGTGTTCATCCAGCTCTACACCTTGTTATCTCAGATTCTCCAGCATCGGCAGTTCCTACTATCTCTGAAACACTATATTCTGGATTCTGTTCCATTACCCTGATGTACTTATTTAAGGTATGATTTGTTTGGTTACCACACAAACCAATACTTTTCACTGTATCTTGTACACGTGACAATAATAAATCAAATCAAATCTTAAGTTATTCATAATTCCTCCACTTTAGGGCTCAAGTTCCCAAATAATAATGGTAACATACCACATTCTCCATCTGAAAATTTTTGGCCCACTCACCTGACCTATCTATATTACCTTGCAGACTCTCTATTTTAATGACTTTCTGTCCTACCTGCCTGATGTCATTGCCAGATTTAACCACTGTATATTTTGCTCCTGAAACCATGTCATTGACATATCTTGTAAATATTCGAGGCTCCAACACTGATCCCTGTGGCACTCCACTAGTTAAAGATTGCTAGTCCAAAAAAAAAAGGACCTAAAAGACCATTCAGCCATTCAAAATTCTACCATTCAATACAATAATTTTGCAAAGACAGAGTTGGGAACACTGTTTCTAAAACTAATTCACTCAGGGGCTGTGGGCATCACTCTCTAGGCCAGTATTTGTTGCCCAGCCATAACTGTCCTTATGTTAAAGTGAATTTAGACTCTGGCATGAAACCCATTGCTCTGGGTCTGCAGTCACAAAGCTTGCTTCCCTGAAGGACATGAGTGCAACAAAAGGGGTTTTAATGATGAACTGCTGGTTTGATGAGCCCCAGGAGAGAGTGTCTTTGCTAAAGAGGGGGAGTGCAGGCGGGAGGGGAGGGCGTGATTGATGGATTATTTGGAAATGAAGGATTTAGGGAGGGAGCAGGAAAATGAAGTTGAAGTTGGGGATCAACCATGATCTTATCGTGGTACAGAGCTGGCTTTTGAAGGGCCACGGGTGCTCTTCCTACGCCGTTACCTTCCATTTCTACGTCCTTACCTGATGCAAAACAAAGCTTACCTCAGCATCGACTCCAGCTTTGACGTTTCTGAGCAGGGGCAGCAGATCGAGGGTGACACTGTGTTGCCGGAGGTAGGCAGGTGGACGGACTGAGGGTTTACATTTCACAATGTACCTCTGGAAAGGGAGCTGGTCATCATCAATCGCCTGGAGCGTGAGCAGCACGTGGCGGTAGGCTTCGAAGAATGCCCGCGACTCCACCATGGTGAAGCGGTGCCCGTATATGAGCTTGGACAACTTGGCGTGGCTAATGGAGAACTTGAGGAGGAGCAGCCCTTGGCTCAGCCACTTGGCATCGGACTTGGCGACTGAGGCGAAGAAGATCTCCCGGCAATCAGTGGCCAGCAGGCAGACGAGGGAGCCCTTCTGCAATCTTTTGGGAGTCAACCAGCCTGCACGGCGGGGCTGGTCGAAGCGGGTCTTGTACGTGACACCTTCCCACTGGCAGACTGGGTGCAGGACCTGGACGTTGCTGTAGACCCTGAGGCCGGGGGAGGACTGCAGGAAACGGCTTCTCGGGGCCAGGTAGGTAGCCAGGTCCTCCCTCAGCGGCTTGACAAAGTCTTCGCGCAGCAGGCGGAAATGAGTGTCCAGGTAGGAGCGTGTGCTCGGGTAGGCTCCCTCCACTTTGTTGGGAGGCAGCGGACCGGGCTCCCCGGCTCCTGCCATATCCCGAGAGCTGGGGAAGACGGACAGGTGACGGAAATTTCCGGCCTCTTCCTCCTGGATGAAGACACCTTGCCACCCGGTGTCCGCTCCCGGGAAAGCCTCATTGACTGAGTGCTTCAGGTCATGCAGCTGCTTCTTCCTGGGCCAGGAGGGCTCGGAGCCCAGGCACTGGAGGCGCTGGAGCCGGGAATGCAGCAGGTCTGCCGGGATCGAGATCCGGTCTTGGATACTCTCGGGGAAAGCCAAGGTCAAGTGTCGGAGAAAGTCTAGCAGGTCGTCCACCTCTTCCCCTCCGCAGTGATCCAGCCGGGCAATGGACTGCAGCAAGCCCTTCAGCAGGAAAGGAGAGCGGACCACAGGCTGCAGGATGGACCTGGTCTCCTCTCGGCTGCTAGCCATCTCTGCGGCTGACCTCAGGGCCCTGACCACTAACTGGACCTCCTCGCCCCCCAGCTCCATCCTGTCCAGTACCTCGGCCAATGTCTCACCATGTCTCAGGAGGAACGAAACCACAGTCCTCTGCCGCTCACTGTCTGCCAGGTCATCGAAGAACGAGCGACAATCCAGTGCACCGTCCCTGGGGTATCCACCCCGGAGCTGAGCCAAGCTCCCTCTCGGAGATTCCCGAGGCATTTTACTTGGGGGCTGCCCAAAACCATTGTGACAAACGTTTGTTCTCCATCTTTTCCTCTCCATGTTGGGTTCCATCGAGGGTTTTCCTACAAAGTGGGGACAAACAGATCACACTTTAGCTCCGTTGTATTTTTTATTTGGGCTGTTCTTTTGGCCCAGTTCTGCTCCTATATTTTGTTATAAGGCAGAGGTTGATTCCCTCTGAGAACTAAAACCAAAACACCTAAAGAGCAGCACCTCACCCTATAATCTCTAAAAGGAATGTGAAAAGTGGTGTAACCTGCCTTTCTGCAACTTCTAGTCTGCAACTTAAATAAATAAGTCCCAGACACTCACTTTAAAATCAACTAGTAACAATTTCTTTATCCAACTCTAACAGTGAACAAATTAAACTATTAACAAACCAAATAAATCACTTCTAACTATTCCCAAATAAAGCAAGAGTCTAGTGGTATGCTGTTCCAATAAATACAAGTCTCAATTATATTAAAAAAATAGAATTTAGTCCCTTGAAATTGCAGCTAGGTTACATGTTTTACAAGGTTTGGCAGATAGCAGCTAGCTCTGGGGCTTTGTACTGCTGCCTCCTGCTTTTTATACCCTTGATGACATATGAATATTTCTTACAACAGGATTGGTCCTATGTTGAAAAAACCATCAGATTTAAATTTAATTGGTTTTTGGGATCTAAGTGCCTGGTTCGAATTGATTGGCTAAAGTTCAAAAGCTTATTGTCTTGATAAAAACTGCTGCTTGGCCTGCTAACTACATGGCCTATCGATATACCTGAATTGAAATATTTGTACTTGCAAACTTTCTGTATACTTCCAAACTTTCAACTGCTGCTCACAGTCATCCATTTTAAATCTCTAAGCATAGAAAAAAAACACCTGATCTTTTAAAGGGACCAAGCAATGCATTCCCCCCTTAGCATTTTACAAACACCAAATTCTAACTTCCTGCCTCCCAATCAAGAAGTTCTCTCGCCAACTTCACAACAACCTCATGGTCATATGGGCTCCACACTTTCGGAAGGATGTATTGGCAGAGGAGAGAGTACGCAGTAGGTTTACGAGACACATATTTAGACTTCAGGGGTTATGTTCTGAGGGAAGATATTATACAAATTAGGCTGGTTTTCTCCAGCATTTTGAAAGTTAAAGTGTTATCTGATTGAAATCTTCGAGATATTAACAGGAAAAGACAGGGTAGATAAACGTAAACTACTTCCACTCATTGGGGATTCTAGAACTGGCGGAGGCATAGTCTGAGGATTAGGGTCAGACTATTCAGGAGAGATATTACGATGCACTTCTACATACAAAGGGTGGTAGAGGTTTGGAACCCTCGTCCACGAATGGCAGTTGATGCCAGATCAATTGTTCACATTAAATCTGAGAGAGACAAACTTTTGTTAAAGTTAATAAGGGTTACAGGCCAAAGGCAGATATATGGAATAACAAGGTATAGAGCTGGATGAACACAGCAGGCCAAGCAGCATCAGAGGAGCAGGAAGGCTGACGT